GCTTTGTTTTTCCACTCGGTCCTTGGCTAATAGACTTAATGACTAGAGAACAGGTGGCCATAAATTGCCTCGATTATCACGCTTCTAATTATAACGAAACAGAGAGAGAGAGAGAGAGAGAGAGAGAGAGAGAGAGAGAGAGAGAGAGAGAGAGAGAGAGAGAGAGAGAGAGAGAGAGAGAGAGAGAGAGAGAGAGAGAGAGAGAGAGAGAGAGAGAGAAAGAGAGAGAGAAAAAAATGGGAATATTTATGTTACAGTTGGCCTTGTTCGCTCTGTGTAAGTTGAAATAAACTGTAACGATAAAAATAGAAAAAAAAGCTAAGCTATATGACTGCCCGGACACAGAAATTGGAATGAAGTATTTTCAACGCCCTTGCTAATGGTTCGCTCTAGTCCCCCCCACTCCGGTAAGTCGTTCTATTAAATATAAACTTTCTCGGCTATCCGAAAGAGCCATTCTTGTTTATATCTATAAGAAAGAATGCAGGCTATCCATACACACAATTTTGCAGGGGAGGTGTGGGAGGGTTTGGGGGGTGGATGGTCTGGGGTAAGGGTGGAACATAGGATGGTCGATGTCACTAAAATTTTCACGAAGGAACAGCATGCTAGGGGTCATGTTCTGACCCTCACGACGACTTTTGTGCTGAGTGATTGAGAAATAAATATTTTAGTTATTTTAGTTTTAATATTTAGTTATTTTAGTTAAAATATTTTAGTTTAGTTACCCATTTGTTCTGAGAAAGGCCAAGGGCTGAAGAAAAAGGCTAAAGCTGTTGGAGGATTGTCTGTTTTATGCTACTATACCCGAAGTATGAATAGCAAAAAAATTTATGTTAATTTTTTCGAGATCAGTGAATAATAGTGTATAGTAGGAGGCATCCTTCAGTCTCGGAAGACTATGGAGTTGCGCCCTGACAGGGCGCAAAGCCTGGGTAGGTAGATATGGAGGAGAAGCTGTTACCCATGCAGCAGGTCTCCCCTCTCCACGTTGCTGAAATTATCCAATAGAAAGACTATTATACACTATCTAATAGTGTATAATAGTGTATAATACCACAGGAAACCCCGGACCAGCCTATGTACGTCCCGTACCCCAGACCATTCCTCCATGCAAAGTTGGGTGAGACTTGCCTCAAGCATCTGGCCTCCAATCTCTGGTAAGCAAACAGGCAAAGAGATATTCTCTTATTAATGATATTGGAGGTCAATTTAGGTATAAATTTGATTATGGTCACATTACCTTATCATATTATTATATTTCTAACTTCTGTTATACTTCCCCATATTACCGAGGGAAAATATTTTTAATATCGGTTTTTATTGTTTAAACTTCAAGTCAATTTGGATAAAAAAGAAATAATTTTCCCTACACACACACACACACACACACACACACACACACAGAGACGTTAGAAAGAATTTTTTCAGTGTCAGAGTAGTTAATAAATGGAATGCATTAGGAAGTGATGTGGTGGAGGCTGACTCCATACACAGTTTCAAATGTAGATATGATAGAGCCCAGTAGGCTCAGGAATCTGTACACCAGTTGTTTGACAGTTGAGAGGCGGGACCAAAGAGCCAAAGCTCAACCCCCGCAAGCACAATTAGGTGAGTACACACACACACACACACACAAACACACTCACAAACACACACACAAACACACACACAAACACACACACAAACACACACACACACACATATATATATATATATATATATATATATATATATATATATATATATATATATATATATATATATATATATATATATGTATGTGTATGTGTGTGTGTGTGTCCAGCCCCCTTCCCTCTATCCCTTTAAACTATGTCACTTATTATCCCGTTCAATTAGTATTTTTTTTAATACTCTCTTCCTCTTCCTCTTCCAGTCCCCAGCATCCTGAGGTCTGCAGCCTCCGCTCTTCTCCCTCTATCACTGAACTTGGGTCAAATGCGTCGCTCTGATTAGGTCTGACATCGGTGCAGAGGGGCCCTTCTCCCCCTACATATTCGCTTTCTTAAATATTTCCTTCTTTCCGTAGACATATCCTTTTGTATCTAATTTTAGTTTTGCGTTATAGAACTTAAACGCATCTTCGTGTGGTTCTTGAGCGTCTCGTAGGCCTGTATAGGCGTCCGGTAGGCCTTTGCGGGCGTCGTGCCAATGTCTATAGCCCGGAGAACCTGTTATAGGCATTGGGGTAGCATAAGTTACCTCTGGGAAAGAATCCGTAGTCCCATTGAAGCATCGGCAGCTCCGTAGGAAGACTCTCTACCTTCGGGAAAACATGTATTGCCTCGGAGGAATGTATGTATGTATGTAGCCCCCCTGGGGGGAAAATATTTGCAACCACAGGGATCCCTTCCGTAGCCCAGGGGACTTCGCTTGAATGCTATCGCTTCTCTTCCACCACATAACTCTGTGGTTCTGGCGACCACTGGCCGGACCTCGCCCCCCTGGAATTCCAAACACTAACACTGTGTGTGTGTGTGTGTGTGTGTGTGTGTGTGTGTGTGTGTGTGTGTGTGTGTGTGTGTGTGTGTGTGTGTGTGTGTGTGTGTGTGTTTACTAGTTGTGTTTTGCGGGGGTTGAGCTTTTGCTCTTTCGGCCCGCCTCTCAACTGTCAATCAACTGTTTACTAACTACTTTTTTTTTTTTTTTTTTTTTTTTCCACACCACACACACACACCCCAGGAAGCAGCCCGTGACAGCTGACTAACTCCCAGGTACCTATTTACTGCTAGGTAACAGGGGCACTTAGGGTGAAAGAAACTTTGCCCATTTGTTTCTGCCTCGTGCGGGAATCGAACCCGCGTCACAGAATTACGAGTCCTGCGCGCTATCCACCAGGCTACGAGGCCCCTGTGTGTGTGTGTGTGTGTGTGTGTGTGTGTGTGTGTGTGTGTGTGTGTGTGTGTGTGTGTGTGTGTGTGTGTGTGTGTGTGTGTGTGTGTGTGTCCGAGTTTTACATTGGCTCTTTCTGGCCTGCGCCCGTTTATTTCCCGAATATACTGACTGCAAGGTATTTTTGCATGCGTTATTCGCGTCACTTCTCAATTCCAGACCTTTTATCGTGGCACTGGCTTCGTGTCTCTTGAAACGAAAATGGGGAAAAAAATTCTTAGTCGAACCCGTTATGGAGTTATCTAGCCAATGGCCTTAAATAGCTCTGTGTGTAATTTTTTATCTCTTATGGCATCGTATCTAACCATATTTTTTATGACCATATCAAGTCATTATAAAAAATAATTCATCAATCGAATTTCATACCTATTTTCTGGATAAAGTGAACTAGGTCTCTTTCTCTATGTTTTCTAAAGTCTGTCTGTTTCAATCTATTTCTGGCTTCGTTTCTCTGTTTGTCTGTTTCTATTTCTATCTGTTTATGTTGAACTATCTCTGCCTATCTTTTTATGTCTCTTAGTCTCAGAGTGCCTCTTTGTCCTTATCTGTATGTGTCCCCGTCTCCATCACTGTTAAAAGTACGTATAGGTGCTCCCTTCTTCTCGGTGATATATACATATATTATATATATGCCTCTGGTGCCAATGTGGGGGACCCATAGCCTCGGAGAAGAAAATAAAAAGTATTCATAGAAGACCTTGTGGTTTCTCACTGAACACTAATATTATCTTCTCCTACCACCCCCATTCTTTTGTATGTACATATATATATATATATATATATATATATATATATATATATATATATATATATATATATATATATATATATATATATATATATATATATATATCTGTATATATAATCACCATTTCAGGCTATCCTGGCAACACTTACTATATTCCATACACGCCTGTGTGTGTGTTTTTATCTTTAAAATAAAACTCCCGGAAGCCAAAAATCCCTTCCGCTGTCGAAGCATTCTTTCTCTCTTGTCTCTTCTTCATTCTTGCTTTCGTTCTTCTTCTTTCTATTTCATTCCTTTAACGCTTGATCTGAATGGAGTTTGTCGGTCTATAAATCTTTAAGTGTGACCCATTAGTCTTTAAATCATCCCTTTGTGATCCCTCATTCGTGTGGGTGATCGCTTACTGCACCGTCTCAGGATGATGTGTCAAGCATGATAATGATGAACATATTGAACATATTCTGGGAATAAAACTGTATGATCAAATAATATATTAGACAGTTTTCATAATTTTCGTCCTGTGGGTTCAGACTTAGGAATATGATTCCAGACTTCTGGGACATATTTCTAGACTTATGAGACTTGAGTCCATATTTCTGGGACATGTTTCTAGAGTTATGGGACTTGATTCCAGACTTCTGGGACATGTTTCTAGACTTATGGGACTTGATTCCAGACTTCTGGGACATGTTTCTATACTTATGGGACTTGATTCCAGACTTCTGGGACATGTTTCTAGACTTATGGGACTTGATTCCAGACTTCTGGGACATGTTTCTAGACTTGTGGGACTTGATTCCAGACTTCTAGAACATGTTTCTAGACTTATGGGACTTGATTCCAGACTTCTGGGACATGTTTCTAGACTTATGGGACTTGATTCCAGACTTCTGGGACATGTTTCTAGACTTATGGGACTTGATTTCAGACTTCTGGAACATGTTTCTAGACTTATGGGACTTGATTCCAGACTTCTGGAACATGTTTCTAGACTTATGGGACTTGATTCCAGACTTCTGGGACATGTTTCTAGACTTATGGGACTTGATTCCAGACTTCTGGGACATGTTTCTAGACTTATGGGACTTGATTCCAGACTTCTGGAACATGTTTCTAGACTTATGGGACTTGATTTCAGACTTCTGGAACATGTTTCTAGACTTATGGGACTTGATTCCAGACTTCTGGGACATGTTTCTAGACTTATGGGACTTGATTCCAGACTTCTGGGACATGTTTCTAGACTTACGAGACTTGATTCCAGACTTCTGGGATAGGATGTTTTCATCTACGTCATTTGCTTACTCGATTTTTGTACTTCGTTTCTCTGTCTCTCTGTCTACCGTGTTTCTGTAAAATCTGTCAATATAAACGGAACCAGTATTAACAGTTAAGAAAAGATACAGTTCACCATGTGCAGGCGATGAGTCACAATAACGTGGCAAAAGTAAGTTGACCAGACCACACACTAGAAGGTGAAGGGACGATGACGTTTCGGTCCGTCCTGGACCATTCTCAAGTCGATTGCCAGTTCACCATATTACCCAAACAATTGGACTGGACGGTAGAGCGACAGTCTGGCGATTTGGTGTTGCCCAATCGGTTGCTGAGCATAATTTCTTCCCCCTCCGTCCTATAGTCAATGTATATCTTCATATTCCTTCCAAGGGCTATATAGTCGTACTGGCTTAGCGCTTCCTCCTAATAGTTATATGCACCTTACCTAATTCACTTTAACCTTTAAGATTTAGAAGAACACCAATATGCTCACGAAGAACTACTCCCCAGACTCCTAAAGGAATGCCTTGAAGGAGACGAGATGTTGTTGATAGAAATGAAAAGGGGGTGTCATTGTCTTGCCTATATATTGAGATCGTTGGGGCTTATTTACAGCCCAACAAGTGGACAAGTTACTCAAAGCCGTAAGAGATAGTGTGGGAGTGAAACACATATATCAGTTGATATTGAGAGTGTAGGTATCATCATAGAATATAATGTTCTTCATTCAAAACATAGTACTCTTCTTTTAAAGCATAATATGCTCCCTTCAATGCATAATATTCTTTTTTTCAAAGAATAATATTCTTAATTTATTCTCCCTTCAAAGCATAATAGTCTGCCTTCAAAGCATAATAATTTAAGCCACTAATGCCGAAATTGAATCATTCATATCTGCAGCACGCAAAGCCTGAGTGAACTAGGAATTTGTTGCATCCCAACGTCCCTACGATCAAGGGGTTCCCGCCCCCCACCCTGTGACTAGGGGGCGCCCTCCCCACCTGCATAGTGTCCTCCCACTCCCACAGTAAAGAGGCATATCTAGCAGTCTCCTCTAGGGCGGGCTATGATAACTTAATTGTTTCCTCTCATTGAGGAGCTGATATATCTTGCTGATATATCTTGCTGATATATATCAGAATGTCCTTACCTTCTTCCTCACCCACTCTCTCACCCCTCCTCTCTCACTTTCCCTCTCTCACCCTTTCTCTCACCCCCACAGGGGGGATCAGAGGGCAATATGGGAAGGGGGAAGAGTGAGACTTGATCTTCTCTCACCCCTTGGTCAGAGGGAGAGACTTTTAGGTCTCTCCCTTTATGATGAAGGGGTGATGTGCACGCTTGTCCTGACCTGAGCAACGGGGTTATACTGTGCTCTGAACAACAGAGTTATTGTGCCCTGAGCAACAGGATGCCATGACCTGTACTACATCCCTTCCACATTTTATTCACACCACTAATCCTTCTTCTAAATTCAACTCCCTTCTCTCTTTTCCCTCCCATTTCTTTAAATTCATCCTCCTTTCCCATCTCATTCTCTTCGACTGCACTTTACCCATTTCTTACCCTCTCCACGTCATTTTCCCCTTCCCATTAACCCTTTATCTTCACAATCTACCTCGATCTGACCCCCCATTACATGCTTCATCTCTCATGACTTACTTCCCTCCCGCCAGTTCCTTCCCTATTCCATTACTTCCCTCCCTCCAGTTCCTTTTCTTTCCCATTACTTCCCCTCCCTTTCCCATCACTCTCAGAGATGTGCTTTAATTACGCATGTTCGTTCTCATTTAATAATCTGATATACCAGGCTGTTACAGTTTGCTCTTGGTATATTAGTCATATACTCTTGATATACTATAGACATATTCGCTATGCTGTCATATTGAATATATATCTGTCATATTGACTACCTCTGTCATATTGGTTACATTACATATTGGTCATATTTGTTAGTTTCATCTGACATACTGATTAAATTTGTCGTACTGATTACATATCTGTCATATTTATTTTATATAAGACACTGATTACATACGCCTTATTGATCTTTCGTGTCGTATTAATAACCTGTCATATTGATAACATCTCTTATATTAACCGCTGTTGTCAGATTGTGTATTTTACTGTATTCTTTACTGGCAACACTGCAATTGCTGTATTAGTTATATTGTTATGTTATTGGTCATACTGATTATATTATAATACTGGCTATACTATAATACTGGTTATACTGATTATACTATAATACTGGCTATACTGGTTACATTAAATATACCTTTTATACTGACTACAGTGATTATATTCGACATGCTGTCTATACTCTCTGTATTTGTGTCTGTGTGTCGAAGTTATACACACGTGGAAGTGCTAGCTGGCTGAGCAGCTTAGCCAACACTTGGGATCTTGATCTTGTATACTTGAGGGATATACTTGGGATCTCTCATTGACGAAAGAGGAATTTTGTGACAGCCAAACTGAGCTGAGAATGAGCCAGGAGAAGAGGACAGTATGGTGGAACGGAGACAGATAAAACGGCGATAGACGGTCTGAGTTCAGGATAATATATTGATTCAGGAAATGTGTAGTTTAATAGGAAGATATGGAGACTATGTTATGTATAATTTATGAATTATGAAGGTTGTTAAAGTAGTTGGATACTTATAGTTGATGTACACTAGTAAGAGCCACTGACAAAGCAATTCACTGTTCATCACAGCACACAAATATTCGAGTATTTTGTACGAGGTGATCATGTCTTACTCGTTCCTTATCTTTCAGTGTTTTGATATTTGCGGTATTTAAATCGTTACTAGTAACTCGTGCCTTTCAACTCTAGGCCTAATCTATATTACATATCTTTAAGCTGTCTCTTTTTTTGTATTTGACGAGATATATGTCCACCACGCTGGCGCTGCATATTTGTGAGTTGGTCTGACATATCTGGAAAATTCCAACCTTAAAGCTACTTTTGCGTCTGAAATAATTTCTTACACTGGCTAGCCTCGCACATGAAGCTGATGTTATCCCGTTAATGTTTGCCTCAGGAGATAAATAAGGTGTGGCATGGCTATTTTATGCATCCGAGTACAGGAGATACACTGTAGTACCTCCTGTACTCGGAACCATGTACGAGTACAGGAGGTACTCGTACATGGTACGAGTGCCATGTACTCCAGAGTCCACAGAATAAGCAGAGTACTCGGAGGTACGAGTACCATCCGAGTACTTTGCTTATTCTGTGGACTTTTCGTACGTCCAGCCTCCTGTACTCAAACCCTGGAAATATTGCTTTGCAATTATTTCCCTTAAAAATAATTAAGAAATAATTAATTAATTAATAATAATTTAATTAATTTAAAAATAATTAAAATAAAATAATTATTTAAACCATTTTAGTTATCAGTTCAGGACTTTCTGTTTCTCCATGCAGTCGTTCCTTATTTTTTATCCTCCTCATAACACTTCTGTCATCCTTAAATCCTGATTGGAATGAGTCAATCCCTCTCTGTGAAGATCATTCACATCAATCAGGAAAAATAAGAGAGTTAAAAATCAAAGTTTTGCATCTTTCTGGAGGCCGCTGAGAGCATCTCGCCTCTCTGGCGCTTCTGGTCTCATTGTTTGCGTTCTGTTATGCCTTTATCTGGTGTGAATTCTCTTTTGCACTCACACCTGTTTCTGCACCAGGCTGGTGTGTTCTACAGGCTAGTGTGTTCTACAGGCTGGTGTGTTCTACAGGCTGGTGTGTTCTACAGGCTGGTGTGTTCTACAGCCTGGTGTGTTCTACAGGCTGGTGTGTTCTACAGGCTGGTGTGTTCTACAGGCTGGTGTGTTCTACAGCCTGGTGTGTTCTACAGCCTGGTGTGTTCTACAGGCTGGTGTGTTGTACAGGCGGAAGAACACACCAGTGGCACCAGCCCTCGAGTGAGGGCTGGTGCCTGAGGCGTTATACAGTCTCTCACAGCAACATGAAGGATGTTTACCCTCTGCATCTTGTGATTCATGGATGTTCTTGTGTGATTCATGTCACTGGTTTTACAATTATAAGTTTGAGTTGCAGGGTTAACCTAACCTATTATAGGTCTAGGTTAAGTAATAATTGTAATTACGAAACAATAAGATGCTTATCTTAACATACTAAGAAGGTTAGGTAAGGTCGGTGTTTACTATGAAGCTTTTCAAGGTAAACTAGTATGTTTAGTATGTCATATATTCACGTATTTAATAAGTCAATATTGACTGTAAGAAAGTGCGAGAACGGGTTGGTGTGTGTGCGTGTGGGTCCTTGCGTTCGTTAGTGTGTGTGTTTGTGCACGCGCGTGTGGCTCACGAAGTGTGCGTGCGGCAGGTAGTCCGGTTGAAGATTACCGTCAACACACCTTTCATGGCTGCGAGTGAAAAATCCACCGAAAGCTTTCTCCTGCGATTTTTAGGACGACTTAAGTCCTCGATCCAAGAAAATGCTGCGATATCCGTGGCTGTAAGTGTGACACTCTCAGTGCTGGGGCTACCCAGCGTCCACCCTTACGTGCAGCCTTCACGGATAGCACTGTGTTGCTCCTGCGTTGTCCAGGCATTAAATCTTCCGCTTCTGAGGAGTTCAGACCCCCGAAGAAGATCGCGCTAAGAGTGAGGTCTTCGAGCGCAGTAGTCTGGATGGTCCTAAACCATTTTGGTGGCCAGAAGTCCTGCTATATTCAACTTGTGGTTTCTGTCCTCCTCTTATATAGCCTGACGAGTATTTTACGTTATTTTTAAAACTATTTTCAAGTCTTTAATACTAGTTAGGTTAGGAAATTATTTTTGCGGGACAGATGTTCGATTCCCGATGGTGTAGGTGATTGGGAAACAGCTCGTTAAGTCATAATATATATATATATATATATATATATATATATATATATATATATATATATATATATATATATATATATATATGTATGGAGCTGGGATATATATATCCACATGGAGCTGGGATATATATATCCCAGCTCCATGCTCTCATATCCCAGCTCCTTGTCCTCATACTCACAGCTCTTTTGTTATATTCCTTCCTAGTGGCATATAGTCATACTGGC